AAGGAAAGGCCAGACAAGGACACAATGGAAAGTCAGCCATCCGCAAGGTAGGGAGAGAGTTCTCATCGGACACCAAATTGGCTGGCGCCTTTGTCTCGGACTTCCAGTCTCCAGGACTGTGAGGGAACTCTGCTGTTTAAGCCCCCCGGTCTATGGTATTTCGTCATGGTAGCCTGAGCAGACTAAAACAATTATGGAACTTCTTAGCAGGAAGGGACGGTGAATAATGTTTGGTCAAAACCTCGCGTTTTGCTCATTTATTTATTGATTTATAAATATTGATTATTTTTTGTGGCAAGCCTCTTGAGAATATAATGATGCATGAAATAGAAATAGTCTCTGATCTTATAGAAATTCATTTATTGGAGGAGACCAACATTAAAGAGATAACTTTAAGGAATTTAAAATTTCCATTGTGAATAGGACCATGAAGAAGCATCATGGTCTTTGACAACATCTAACAGCGGGCCCTTATTTTGTCTGGGAGGTCAGCAAAGGTTTCTCTGAGAAAGTGTTACTCAAGCTGAGTCTTGAGGGACAGGAAGTGCTTAGCCTGATGAGAACGTGGGGTGGGGGAAACCATTCTAGAAAGAGGGAACGGGACATGGACCTGAAATGGGAGCTGAGCTGGGGGCTGGGAGAGAACAGATCATGTGGCCACAAGCCCTGTGTTCTTTCCGCTCCCCCAGGCTGGGCTTCTTCCAGCTCTGTGTCCCTTGTGTGCTCATTCTGGAGAGGGGCATTTATACACATGATGAAAGTGGGCACCCTAGGTGAGGAAGCAGGGGGGCCCCTCAGCGGCATGCAGGGCTCTCATGCAAGAGAACTGAGGAAGCGAGGGAAGGAGGGGTGAGGACGTTCCCTGTAGGCTTGGGTCAGGATGGAAAGGAAGGGCCAGGCGAGATGTTGAGGTCAGTTGTCGATTCAGCAGTGTGACCATTTCTTCCAAGCTCGTTCTAGAAAGGGTTAATGGCAACTTAGATACATATCCGTGTTGTTTTGCTTTTTTGATATGTACGCCAGGACCACGAAACCTCCTGTTTTTCAGTCCCCCTTTAAGTCTAGCTTTGTTTGCTGTATTCCTTCCCTCTTCTCTGCTTCCTGTGGCGTACCTTATGTATGCCCCATGTGGGCACCAGGGGCTGGGATTACAAAGACAGTAAGAGACGATCCCCCCAAATAGGGACCCTGGGACCGTAGGGTGAGGAAGAGTGGTGTGTGTGGGATGGGCAACACTACCACGGTGTCAGCCAGGAGAGCCTTTCCAAAGATTTGGGGCCATGTGGGCGGATGACCAAAGCAAAGAGTTGGACCTTACTAGGCTCATCAAGTCCTTGTTATCTTCTGACAGCAGGTTGGGAACTCTGTGAAGATACAGATCAGGCTTTCTGAGGAGGACCCAGGGCTGGCTGGCTGGCTGGCTGGCTGGCTGGCTGGCTGGATGTTCATACTACACTTCTAGTGAAAGGGCCCCTGAGAACCAGAAAGGCGAGAAGCCGGTGTCATCGAGGGTCCTGGCATCTCCCACCCATTACTATTGACAGTTTCAGTTTCTCAAAGTTCTCTGCAAGGTTAACTGGTGCAGAGACTCTTCTCCACGGTAAATCTTTGCTTTTGAAAGAAGATCTGTCGGGTTTCTGAATTAGATGTTGAGTCTTTATTTCTGGTGCCTTGAGGTGGCTTGAGGTCTCATTGGTGACTCTCATCCCTACATAGGGTGGTGTCTGGCTAGGAGGAATTGGTTTTTTTTTAAAAGGAGATCTGACTGGTCCTGCACACCCAGGATCCGCTGTTAGTGAGAACAGTCCCCGCTGCTGGCTCCGTGAGTGTACAGGCGAGTGGTCCTGCCCGGCAAATGCAGGGAGACTGGGATGCAGGAATTACTTCATCTCTCTGTTTCGCCAGGGCCTCTGAGCTTTGACTGAGCAGCCCTTCCCCCGAGATACCTTCTTTTGTGTCCAGTTCTGGAGGCTTCTTGCTTGCCTCTTCCTCAGCCATGCCCTTCCTCTGCGCTCTCCTCCATGTGGGCCACAAACCCTGTATCTTCTCTATGCAACATCTCACGGGGCCTCTTCCACTGGGTGTGCATTCCCACCTTGCCCAGTTAGGAACCTGACCCTCCTGGTGACTTCCTTTGCAAATTACTAACTCAACATTCTTTTCTCAAATGACCAATTCTTTTGTAAATAATTACCTCTCCTGCCCATGATGGTTGTTTTGCAAAATTTTTAAAAATGTTACATTTGCTTACTGTGGAGGTATATTTGTTTTACAGGAGTCTTTTTGAATGGCAGGATTGGGGATAAGAACTGGCTTCTAGGCAAACTGGTCTAGAATGCTCTTTACGCTGTGATGGTTCTGTTGGCATCAGGGTAGAGGCTCTGTAGTAAAGAATCACAATAAAGCAAGATTACATTTCCTACAATCAATTCCATCAAGTAATGCACTAAGGATTTTTGGAAAGAGAAACCCAATTCTTTAAAAGGAGAGAGAGAGGAGGACAAGAGAAAGGGATATAAAAGAGCCCTAAACAATTCAGTTACACTAATGGCCCTCGTATTATTGTGGCACTATTACTTACAAATAAAAGCCGAAGAGGAAAAACAAGCTGTGTTCGCTAGATGTACTCTCTGTTCCCTGCCTTGTTTTTCTGCTCTGAAGTATAGCACTGTGTTGACGTAGGGATGTAACTGCTATGAATATTGATGGCAGCAAAAGCCTTTTTTCTCTGTTTGGCCTAGTAAATAAAGCAGAAGTGATAAAAAGGGAAAAGGAATTGTAAAATCAGCATGCTGTTTTCAGCTTATCTTGTTCCTCTAGAACTCCACGTCTTAGAAGCATATTGACAACTTACATTTGGTGGTCAGGGTCTAATTTGGGTATAGTGGGCTGGTGTTTTCAGGGATTTTTGCTTCTGGTTCAAGTAACAGAGTTTCTCTCTCCTTTTAGCCCTCAAAGTTAGCGTTACCACCTCATTGAAGCCTTCCAGGATCCCTCCTCCCTAGCCAGTGGCAAAGTCCCAGCTCTCAGGGAATATGAAGAATAAATGAAGGAGTCACCGGAGGTCTGCAGGCTCATGCATGCCCGGAGGGCATGGCTGTGGGGAAGGAGAAGGGGTCATATTGGCGTTATTAGACCTCTTGGATGGTGTTCAAAGTTCAAAGGGAGCTCTGGAGGACAGGTTAGGGATGGCAGGGACCTGGGATGGAAGAACTAACGGAACTGGCTTTTCAGCAAGACCAGCGGGAAGTCGAGAAGGGGGATGAAGGCTGGGGTCCAGCAGTGGTTGGATGCTTGCCCTGGTGGTAGAGAGGGAGAATGTGAGTGACGCCTGGGTGGCTCAGTTGGTTAAATGTTGGCCATCGGCTCAGGTCATGATCCCTGGGTCCTGAGATCGAGACCTGAGTTGGGCTCCCTGCTCAGCGGGGAGTTTGTTTCTCCCTCTGCCTGCCACTCCCCCTGCTTGTACTCCCTCTCTCCCTCTCTCTCAAATAAATAAATAAAATCTTTAAAAAAAAAAAAAAAAGAGGGAGGATGTGGGGGGAGACACAGGGAAGGCCTGGCCAGGTGACAGAGGGCTAGCACTCTGGCAGGAGGCTGCTGAGGCCATCTCGTCGCGGTCATGTAGCAAAGCAGAGTCCTGGTGGGGGAAGGGGTGGACCAGTCCTTTGGCCTTCTCAGAGGGCTCAGGATGCAAAAGCACCCTTTCCACTACCTGCCTTAGGGCATTTGCAGTGTTCATGTTTGGAACAGACTAAACCTTCCCTTCCCTTCCCTCCCAGACTAAACCTTTCGGGGGTAGGGACAGCAGTGGAGCTGTTTTTCTAATCCTGGATCCTGGCGTGGGGTCTGTCATATAGAAGAGGTGCTCACTCAGTGTTTCCTGAACCAAATTCATTTGACCGCTTGCATCAGGTGTCTTTGTAAGTGAATTCTGTGACTTCCATTTTCCTAAGGTATTGGTAACTTTCCCTGGGTTCCACAGGGTAGAATTAATATTTGTGGAGGGCTTTATGGCCCATGTGGAAGAGTTTTAATTGCTGATGGTTTTTCATTGAGTTATTAAGTAGCTTCTTGCCAGGGAGTGCCTCTTATAAAATTAATTGCACACATCCCAGTGGGTCAGTATTTCTGTTAAAGCCGAAGCTGCATAAAGAAAACCTTCACAAAAGAGGAAGGGAGTCAACATTTTTAGACCTGCTGAGGGATGTGTTCTCTGGACGCACGAAGTTGCCTGAGTTGGAATGGGAAGGGCTCTAAGAGTCAGCTAGCCTGCGGGCTGAGTCTCCGAGGTCTGGGCAGCCAGATGGGAACAGCTGCTGGGGCCGGTAGGAGGGAAGGATGCAGAGGCTGAGCCCCCACTCCCTGGGAGGGCGTGTGGCGACCACTCAGCAGTGTCAGCTGGGGGACGGGGGTCGGGTTGCCATCTCGAACTTGCTCCCCTTCTGTGCCGGTGAGGAGACTGAGGCCCAGGGGTGAAGAGGGACTTGCCCAGGTCACCTTGCTGCTCTGTGACAAAGAGGACCATGACTTAAAATCGGGCATAAACCCAAGAGGAGGAGAGAGGGTCAAAGCAGCTGCATCTTCCTTTCTTCCAAAGGACATTCTGTTCCAAGCGGCCGTTGGAATCTTGTTGCCCCCTTGTGCTTTTCTGGGCCTGATTTGGCAATCTCAGGAGGAAAACATGCTGCGTTTTGCAAATGTGTGCAAATAACAAACATGCCCCTTATGTCCCAGGCAGACTCCGTGCACACGCATTAGGGCAGGTGGCAAAATGCAGTCATGCAGCCTGGAGTGAAAAGTGTTTTACACTTAGCTGCTTATGAGAAATTCAGTGTTAGAATTAAAACGTTTTCCTTCCTGGCACAGGTGCTGTGTTAATGGTGCCATTTCTCATAATAAAACTTTGCTTGGAGAAAAATGCTTTTTGAGCTATTGATTCTAATTCCTGTTTCTTTTCCTTCTTCTCCCCCACCCCCCCTTTTTGTTTCTCTTCACAGGAAAAAGTAGAATATGCCTTCCTGATTATTTTTACAGTCGAGACATTTTTGAAGATTATAGCGTATGGATTATTGCTACATCCTAATGCTTATGTTAGGAATGGATGGAATTTACTGGATTTTGTTATAGTAATAGTAGGGTAAGTCCCTTTTGTTTTGGGGAAATGTTTGGAATATGGGAGGCAGGGAGTGATGAAGAACCACAGTTTTTTGAGGGAATATGGTCACTCCTCTCTGCCAGTGCTTGTGGCCAGAACCAACCAGTGGGGTTTTGAAGATGGGCGATGCTGCTATCAGTCTTTGGGTTCAAATCCCCTCCTTGTTCTTACTTCCCTTCCAGTAACGTGTATAGAAGGAGGTTGAAGCTCCCAATGTAAGAGGGGTCATTTTACAGAGGACTTGGGTCTTCACAAATAGGCCAACCCTGCTGGCAGTTAGAGTCAAATGAGCAGAACTCTCATACCTAGCACCCTGGTAAGTTAAAAACAAAAAACGCGCAAACCAGTAAAACAGTAATAAATCCTTCAGAGCAGTGAGGTACTCTGCTATTTAACAACCTGAGCAAAGTTACTAACTTTTCTACTGCTTGGGGGAAAAACTTTGGCATGCTACTGTCCCATTTTAAATAACAAAACAAGTGTCTGAATAATGTCAGGTATCTGGCAAGAAATGAAATAAGCCAGAAAATGCAGAGAAGCAGGCATTCTCCAGAAATCCTGTCACAGGAAGGAGACACCAACAGTTTAGTTAAAGAAGAGCGTTAAAAGGCAGTGGCCTGCGTTGTGTGATTCTGGTCCTGCCACACCTGGAAATTTTGCCAGCAAGAGAAAAAAATGAATCCACATCAGAGGAGAGCTGGGCCTTTGGACCAAATACCCACATAGGGAAAGAAGATCTATCCCTTTGCTGAGTCTTTGTTACCCAGCTGCAAAATGGGTTGCTCCTAAAACTATATGTGGTCATACCTAGAGAGATTGTTAATCTCTCTGTGTTCATCTCCATAACTTTGGTCAACTGCCTTTTGAAGTTGAGCAATGTAATTTTTCTTATAGGCTACTTTTTTTTAAATCGTGAATCCTTTGGCTTTTCATGGGAGACTAATATAGCTGGATACTGGGAGAATGGGATAAATTTTGAACCTGCCCTTTCAAACCTTAGGAAATTCAAATGGGATCCAAAATGGCCCAGTGGGATAATTAGACTTAAGGGGAAAAAGTCAGCTTTTGCAAAAACCACCAGAGGACATGTCATCTAAGGTATTACTGCAAAGGTAGTGTGGCTAAAATGAACAGGTAGTAGGTATGTACCATACCTTCCTGTATTTGCTGAAATCGAATAAGGAATGGCAAGCAGGAGCCTTGCAGGTCCCTTGGTTCTGGAATAATTTCACTGTGTCTCTCCTGAGCCTGGACTTTGTGTTCAGCTACAGGATGGAGATGCTTAGCTCCATTTCTTTTGTCCTTACCCTACAATCACCTCAGCTTTCTACCTCGAGACATTTTTCAGACTATAGTAGAGCACAAAGGGAACCAGACAGAGGGTGGTGGTCTCATTGCATTGAGAAGACCAAGACAAGAGTCCAGGAAGGCCGATGGGGCTGAAATTTGATAGACATGAGATGGGAGGGGGAGGGGGCTTTTCAGAGAAAGAGCTCCATAAATATGCCTTGTGGTCCTCTTGAGCTTTGCCTGAAGAATAATCTACCCTTACCGGGGTGAGAATCCAGGAGGCCAGTCAAATAATACTATTAGGGAAAAAAAAGAAAAGCTGTAGACTGTTAGCTGAATAATAACTACAACTCACATAGGTTTGCGAGATGTTCGAGTTATGACCAACCAGAATGGAGGCCTCAATAAACACCGTGGACTGTCAGTAGACACCCCAGAAGGGCCATTAGTAGTAGGGCTAAACTAACTCTAGGGTAAGGGTTGGCAAACTATGGCCAATGGGCCAAATTTAGCCTGCCAAAAAATTTTGTAAATAAAGTTTTATTGTAACATAGTCACATGCATTTGTTTACATAGTTGATTTGAGTTGTTTAGGTCCACAAAGCCTAAACTATTTACTATCTGGCCCCTTATGGAACAGTTTTGCCAACTCCTGCTAGAGAGTAAAGATCACCTGAATCCCTTGCTCATAAGGTTTGAAAAGAAGCCTGAAAAGGAGCAAACTGACGTGCAAAACAAACTGCCTCATGAAAGAAAACTCAACACTCTTTAAAGGAAGACAACAAAATCCAGACACTTAACAAGTGTCCAGCATCCTGTCAAATCTTATGGCCATTAATTAAGACATATGACCCATAACCAGAAGGAAATTCCATCTATAGAGACAGACCTAGAAATGACAGAGATGATGGAATTAGTAGATAATTGCTTTACAAGACTTTAAAAATAGCTATTATGAATATGTGGACATAAAGGAACACATGCCACAATGGGAAAAGATGAGACAATATAAGAAAGAACCACATGGGACTCTGAGAGCTGAAAAATTTTCCTGGATTGGCTTAATAGCAAATTAGACACAACAGAAGGAAAAAAAAAAAGTCAAGGAACTTGAAGACCTAGCAGTACACAAAGAATAATAATCGAGAAAAATTGAACACCACCTCAGTGACCTGCAGGGTAATATCAAGTGGTCTAACATACATATATTTGGAGTCCCAGAAGAGAGGAGATAGAGGGGAGCCAGAAAAAAATATTTGAAGAAATGACTCCAGATTTTCTAAATGTGATGATAAATACAAACTCACAAATTTAAGAAGCTCAACAAAGCTCAAGCAAAGTAAACATAGAGAAAGCTACACTGAAGTACGCCATAATTCATAATGAAATTGCTCAAAACCAAGGATAAAGAGAAAATCTGAAAAAGTAGTCAGAGAAAAAGACATCCCTGGACTTTTTGTCAGCACTATAGAAGCCAGAATACAGTAGAGAGGTATCTTTAAAGTGCTGAGGAAAATGCCAACCTAGAATTCTTATTCAGTGAAGATAGCTTTCACAATTGAAGTAAAAACAGACTTTTTCAGACAAACTAAAGCTGAGAATTCACCCCAAGTAAACCTGTACCTCAACAAATGTTAAAGGAATTCCAGAAAGGGCACATGCATGGGTAAATATAAAAACATTTTTTTTTCTCAGTAATTGATTATTTAAAGCACAAGTAGTAACAATGTATTGTGGAGTTTGTAGCTTCTATGAAAGTAAAATATGCGACAATAATAGCACAAAGGACAGGAAGAAGAAAATAGCTATATACTATTGAAAAGAGCTTGTACAGTTGGCGGTAAATATGACAAAATATTACTTGAAAGTATACTGTAATAAGTTAGAGATGTGTGTTACAAACCCAAGAGTACAGGCCAGCAAACTTCAGCCCATAGACCAGATATGGTTTATTGCCTTTTTTTCTTTTTCACATTGGCAAAGTATTTTCCCGTCTGCTTTGGAAGATTGTTTTATCGGAAGACAGTCACACTCACTCATGTTTGTGGCTATTTGGTGTTAGGATGGCAAAACTGAATAGTTGTGACAGTGACCCTGTGGCCTGCAAGTCCTAAAATAGTTACTCTCTGACCTCCACAGAAGATTTTTGCTGACATTTGCCCTAGAGAAGCCACTAGAAAAAACAAAGAGGTACAGTTAATAAGCCTGTGTTGGAGATTAAGTAGAATTTTTAAAAGCTCAATTAATTCAAAAAAGGGATGAAGAAAAAAGGAACAATGAGCAGGGCAAACAGAAAACAAATAGCAAGATAGTAGATTTAAACCCAGCTAAATCTTTATTAGAATCCAGAGTTTACCAGATTTTATACACTAAAAAAAACCCAGACCCAACTCTAGAGTATCTACAAGAAACCTAACCTAGGTTAGGTTACTTACAAAGAATTTGTAAGTAAAAAGCCAGAAAAAATATATACCATGTGAAAACTAATCTAAAGAAAGGTAGAGTGGCAATATTAGTCCAAAAAAGTAGACTTCAGAATAAGGAATATTATCAAGGATAGAGACATTTCATAGTGATAAAAGAATTCTTTCATGAAGATACACAGTATATGCCTAATAACAGAGCTTCAAAATACACCAAGCAAACCCGGAAAGAACTGAAAGGAATTCTATTCTATTATTGTAGTTGTACATTTTAATACTTCTCCCTTGAGTATTGATAGAACATCTAGACAGAAAATCACTAAGTATATAGGGATATTTGAACAATACCACCTAGCTTGACTTAACTGGCATTTTTAGAACACTCAAGACCAGAAAGCACATTCTTTTCACATGCACATGGAACATTGACCAAGAAATATTCTGGGCCATAAAATAAGTTTCACTGAATTTAAGAGTATTAAAATCATACAAAATTATGTATTCTGAATGAATTTAGCAATGTTTCTGGAGAGAAGGTCAGTATTAAAACATGTGAATTTCTATGTCCTAGTCATGAACAATTGGAAAATGAAATTTTAAAGGCATTATTTACTATAGCATCAAAAAGCATGAAATATTTAGGGATAAACAGCACACTACAAATGACTAAACTTTGCTGAGAGCACTTAAAGAATAAATAAATGGAATGATGTACCATGTTCATGGATCGGACAGCTCAGTTATTGTTAGGCTATCAGTTCTTCTCAAACTGAACTATAGATTGAATCCTAATCTAAATCCCAGGAGGATTGTTGTAGAGATTGACAATTTATTCTAAGACTTATATGGAAGTTAAAGAGGCTCTAGATTAGCCAAAGAAATATTTAAGAACAAAGCTGGAACGTGATCTTAGGGCTTACTATAAAGCTACGGTAGTCAAGACTACTGTATGATGTTGGCATAAGAAGTAGACATAAAGATCAATGGAACAGACTTAGGGATGCTAGAAATAGACCTATATGTATGTGATCAATTGATTTTAGACAAAGGTGCCTTGATACTTCAGTGAGTTGAGTTATAAGTTGTAGTACTAAATTGTAGTCAGTTTTTAACAAATGGCATTGGAACAACTATTTATCCATATGAAAAAAAAGAATCTTTATTCTTACCTTATAACACACACAAATATTACCTTAAAATGGATCATAGACCTATATGTGAAAGCTAAAACTATATAATGTCTAGGGGAAGATCTTTATGACCCTGGGGCAGGCAGAGAATTTTTAGGACCCCAAAAGCACCAGCCATAAAAGAGATCATTGAAATTTTGGAGCTTATCAAAATTTAAAATTTTTCTTCAAAAGATAGTGTGAAGAAAATTAAAAATTAAGGCACAGGTTAGGAAAAAATATTCACAATACAGATATATGACAAAGGACTTGCATTCAGAATATGTAAAGAATTCTTATAACCCATTAGTAAGAAGACAACCCAGTATATAAATGGACAGAAGATTCAAATAGATCTTCACAAAAGAAGATATGTAAATGGTTAACAGGCACCTGAAAAGATGTTCAACATCATTAGAAATTAGGGAAGTGCAAATTAAAATCCCAGTGACACACTACATACCCACTAGCATTACTAAATATAAAAAGACTCTCAATACCACATCTTAGCCAAGATACGGAGCAGTTGGAACTCTCATACACTGCTTGTGGAAATGGAAAATGGTGCAGTCACTTTGGAAAAGTTTGCCAGCTTCTTAAAATGTTAATCATACACTAACCACAGGACCATATTACCAGCACTACTCTTGGGTACTTACCCAAGAGAGATGAAAACACATGCTCACAGAGACTTTATTCATAATGGAGAAAAACTGGAAACAACCCAGATATCTCCTAACAGGTGAATGGATAGAGTCATTGTGATATATTCATTCAATGGAATATCCCAACAATAAAAAGAAATGAACTGTGAATAAATGTAACAACTTGGATAAGTCTCAAAAACATGGGGAGCAAAAGAAGTTAAAAGAAGAACATATGTTGTATGATTTCATTTATAAAAGATTCTGGAAATGGGAAAAAAACAACCCAAAGTGATGGACAATCAGTGGATACCAAAGGCTGAGCTGAGAGGGAGATAATTGCACAGAGCCATTAAAGAACTACTGGGGATGGTGGAAATGTTCTAGATCTTGACGTGGTGTTTGCACTTGGACTTCTACATTTGTTAAGACTGCTCTCATTGTACACTTTAAATAGATGTATTTTATCATATATAAGTTGAGCTGTAATAAAGTTGACTTAATAAAAAGTTAAAACATTAAAAAAAATAAAAAATAAAAAAATAAAGTTGACTTAAAAACTAAAAGAGAAAACAAAAGGAAAAAAAGAAAAAAAACTAAAAGAAATTAGGAAACTAAAATAGGAATGGTCTCATTGGTCTTTCTCATTAAATATGAAGAACTTGAGAACATCTGATTATTTTTTTATCCAAAATATGCACCAAATTATAGTCAAAGAGCAGAAGAAAAGTTAAAGAAAGAAAAGTTATTGGGTCTTCATGGGAATCAAATTCCTACTCACTAAAGTTTCCAACTGCAAGCTGTATCTCAATCCAATGGACTTTCCGTTCCAAGCCAACTGTGACCTATTGCTTTTGTCAAGATTCCCAATAACAGAGACATTAAGGAAGTAATTGATACTTCTAAAATGTTAACCATAATAGTGTGACCACAGGAGGACTCAATGTGTCTACCAGAGCTGAGAGTGTTCCCTGTATAGAAAAGTTTATTCCACCCACCTAATGTTTCAGTCAACATATATTTCAGGCTCATCACTTAAGCTTTTGTGAAGAAGAACATGGGGTGCTCATTTCTAACTTGAGTCCGTTTCAGTAGCTCCTTGCCTTTTGCTCCTGCGTTGGGGTAAACTTTGTAACATTCTAGGATCAAATACTTTCTCTTCATGTCCTGAACTTGCCAGGCGTGTGGTACTTTTTTTGTTGAGGGTGGGGGGCATGAGTGGTGAAGGGAGTAGAATCACAGAATATTAGACTGGGAAGGGCAGGGCTCTGGATCATTTAATCCAGTTTTCTCCTTTTACAGAGTGGGGGAAACTAAGGCCCAGAGGAGGAGAGGAACTTTCCTAAAGCCTCCTAACTCTTAGGAATGGAATCCCAGCCCCAGCCCCTTCCACCCTGGGCTATCTGGAGAAGGCAGCTAGCTTCCCTCTCTGGCTCAAGTTCCTTTGTAATGGGAGCAAGACATCATTCACCTGTTTTCAAGGGCATTGCTGAAGAAAAAGGGGTAAAAGGACCGTGAAGTATGCACTGTAAAACATAGACACTTGAAAGTGATCTTCAGTCACCACCTGCATAAATTACTTTCCTAACCCTTTGGGATGAAAATTCCTGTGGCTGCCACATTTCAGAAGAGTTTGAGGTTTTCTTTCTTCCTTGTTCTTTGTTTTCGGGAGGCTATGAACTTGTTTTGGAGGGGAGACTTTTAACTTGAGCCTTGCTGCAGGGATCTACAGTAATTAAAAAAATAAAACTATTCTAATGAGAGAAACGGGTCATAAATTTGATCTATTTCCCCAGTCATAACTAGAGAGAGCCCACCATCTGAAGGTTTGAAAAGGTAGAGGCTTGATTTATTCTCCCCCTGGCGCCAACCCCCTCTGCCCCCAGCTAGATTCACTGCTAATTGCTGTAGTGTTGTTCAAATGGCTGGTCTTTCAGTGCCCCGGAACGATAGGACTATGCCTGATCAGGACTGTGATCAGACCACCCTGTATTTTATGGACTTCATGTCTTGGCAGTCCAGAGGCATGCCAGTGGGGGCAGAGTTTCTGCTTCAGCTCCTAATTAAACTTTGGAAACCTTTTCTTTGTTGCTGGGCCAGTCATCCCCACAATCTGATTGGCTGGAGTTGATTCTATTTGAAATGGGCAAATTTATATTTATTCTGAAAAACAAGCAATAATTCCAAAGAATAAATGTTTATTTGAAAGAGCAAAAGTAACTGTCAAGTGAGCAGATTGTCTGAAAATAGCTTTATCCGAAAAACCTTTGGAGAGTAGGAAAAATGTGTCGTGGCTGCCAGATACAATATTATGCACATTTCAAAAGAGAAAATGACGGTATTAATCCCTTACCTTGGGTTACTGCTTTTGGCCTTTGCACAACTCCTCAGCATCTGTGATTTACATCATTCCTTGAACATCCCTGTGAGGGTGGAGGGGTGTGTGTGTGTGTGTGTCAGGGTCTATACCAGAAATCCAGAAATGGTGTAACACGTTGATTAAGATTTGGGACTTTGAAGTCAATATTCATTCACCCATTGATTTACTCCTCAGGTATTTCTCGAGTACCTTCTGTGTTGAGAACTGTTCTAGGCACTAGGCTTGAACAGACTAAACAAACAAATGAACAACACAGATTAAAAGTCCCCATCCTCATGGGACCTGGATACTGGGGAGGCCAACATACCCGGATTCATTCGTTAGTTCTACACTAGTAGTGTGACCCTAGGCAAGTTACTTGTCCTCATCAAGTGTGTTTCCTCATGTGTAAGATGATTAAGAATCCCTACTGCATAACACTTTGTGAGGACTGAGATAATGTATGTAAAGTGTTTGGCACATAGTGAATGTGCATGGAAGGTAGCCGCCATGTTGGTTGTCCTTGAGACTTATGTTCCGGGGTGTCCACCTGTCGTCGTTGGATCCCCAGTGAGTCCCCTCTTCCATGGGACCGGACTTGCTCAGGGTTGGCAGGAGAACAGCCAAGCTCAATCTTTGTCCCAGTCATGTCACAGGTAAGGGTGGCTTTTGGGATTCACAGCCTGATTCTTGCCTTTGCCCTGCTTCCCTTTCATGTAGGCAGCAGCCCCACAGAATTAGCCCTTGTGCAGAAATAACTACTATTATCCTCCCGTGCTGCTTCCCTGGGTGACAGACTCTAACATTTCTTCCTTTCTTCTTTTTTTCAGATTGTTTAGTGTAATTCTGGAACAATTAACCAAAGAAACAGAAGGCGGTAACCACTCCAGTGGCAAGTCAGGAGGCTTCGATGTCAAAGCCCTCCGCGCCTTTCGGGTGTTACGACCACTTCGACTAGTGTCAGGAGTGCCCAGTAAGCACGTCTTGTTTCCTAAAGCCAGGAGTTTGTTGACTTGGTTTTTCTTCTGGGTGGGGCTCAGGATTCTGGAGCCAAGCGCTGCCAGGTGAGTTGTGGTGTGCCAGCCAGGGGCTCCACAGACGACCACGGAGGCCTTCACGGTTCACGACACGCTTTTGCTTGCGTGGTCACCTTGGACCCCCTTGACGGCCCTGAGAAAGGGCCGGTAGTGACTGTTGTCTTCCTGATTTTGTAGGAGACTCTTCTCTTACAGAGACACTGAGCGAGTGGTGACATGAGGCCTTGAGGTCAGGCCTCCTGATTCCAGGCTGGTTTTCCTTCTTGGACACCTCATAGCCACCACCTCCTCCTGCTCCCAGGCCTGCCCCTCTGAGAGTGGTGGCTAATGCAGAGGAGGAGGGTATTGCAGGGCTCCCGGCCAACTGCCTTTCTTCAAAGTGAGCAGCAACAGGGGGCTGGACTCCTGGAACATCTGCTCAGCTCTCCACTCTTAGGAGTTGCTCATGTCTGGCTCTGGCGGAGGAGGCGGATGCTTCCAGGTCCTCCCTGTATGTAGGGTAGGGTAGGACCTGCTTGCAGGTGGTTTGGAGGACCGAGTGAGATGATGCAGGGAGAGCCCCCCACAACACAATGTCTGGAGCAGAGGTGGCCCTCCATGGCGAGAGATGCTGTTTTCCTCCACTAGGCTATGATACCTGTCTGTGCCAGGCCCTAGTTTGCTTTTTGCTCCAGATGTCTGGGCCAGGTTTAGTGCCACCTGAGCTGGGACAGATGCTCTGGCTGTGCTCTGCCTGGCAGCTGTAGGCTGTTTCTGCTCCCCTAAGGAGCCTAGAGTGTGCTTCACTGGGCTCTGTGCCTCGAAGGACACCCGTGGTGGGGACTTGAAGGTAGAAGTCCTAGCGCCTCTCCAAGGGTTGTGGCGGCAGCTGCCTGCTCCAGCTGGAGGAAGGCTATGGGACAATAGGGTGTGCCTGTTTTTCACGACTCACAAAGCCATCAAAAGAGCACAGATCATGTTTTTGCCTCTCCAGAAGTTTTTCATGAAATTTTATTAAACCTGTTGGCACTCGGGACACACCAAAAATTCCCTGGAAAAAAAAAAAGATTTCCAAATTTAACATTTTAAAATGTAGGAAGTGGTGTTTTATGTGTACTTGTTTTTCCAGATGGTTCATTTATTTTCATTGAAAAAGATCAGCGCAAGTCAAAACCGCAGAGCTGTCTGGAAGCAATTGAGGAAAATAGAAATACCTTGGAAATGACTGGTTTTGTTATGTGTAACATGATGAAATGAGAAGTTCAATGAGCAAGCATGTTCTTTCAGATTTAGTTGTTATAGCCTAATCTAATCTTAAAGTTACCACGACAGCCTTTTTTCCCCCAAAGAGCAAATGACAGGACAGCCTGTTTGCAGCATATGTTGTAAGGACAAGCGGGTGCTGTGGCTTCATGCATGTAAGTCTGGCCGGTGAAGCTTCCCAAACTCACCGATCATTGTTTTGGCTTTCTTATTTAACAAGGTTTTCACTAAATGACTAGTCTAGGATTCCCGGGTGTTCTTGAGAACACGTTTTAAACTAGATTTCTTCCTTGTCTCCTTTGTAACAGGATGGAGCTCTACATCACACTCTCCCAGAGGTCAGCAGGGAGAAATGGGGACCTGAGTCTTGTTGAGGACTTTTTAGCCCACATTTATTAATTGCCCTAGTGGAGAACACCCAAGTCTCTCAACAGCCCCAACTGGGCTTGGGGGAGATGGTGTTTTGGGGGGCTCTGGGTCATAATGTTTTCCATGCTGGTTGTCAACTGGGGCCTGGTGATTTCTTAAGAACCCTGAAATTGTTAAAAATGCCAGGGAAGGTGTGACTGCTTACACTTACCTGGGAATTATCTTGTGCCTTCTATAGAGAATTCAGACTGTTCTATAAGACACGATTTCGTGTGTGTTTGTGAATATATGTTGATTCGTTGGCAGGTAAATATATATTGTAAAAGAGAGTTCAGACATTCATGGAGTTATTAACCACCCATACTCAGATGATAAATATTGATCGGAGTCCTGGACCATCAAATGGGAAAGAACCCTACAGACCTTCTCGTCCATGGGCATCGTCTTTTAGATGAGGAAGCCAAGGGCTGTGGAGGGGCAGCAGCTCGTGCAGATTCTCACAGCCAGTGGGTGGCTGAATGGGGACAGATGGACACTCTCCTGGTTCCTGGCCTAGTGTTCTTTCCATTCCACCCCACTGTCTCCAGAACTGGAGTCCCGTGAGCTCTGTTGTATGTGCTGATCATGTACAAAGGAGCCCAATGTCAGTAAAGTCTACACATTCACATTAAGATAAACTTCATTATCTCATAACTTTGGCCAATCGGAAATACAGTAGATACAACGAACAAACATGTTCATGAAACACACAGCTCCCTACCAGAGAATTTCCATAGAATTTAGAAGAGCTAAGTGCCAGATGATGATTTTGAATGGCCCGTCCATGTCTGGGGGGAAAAAAAAAAAAAACACACAAAACAAAAACCAACCAACCAACCAACCAAACCAAACAAAACCAAAAACCCAAATGATAGAACAAACCCCTGAGTACATTAGAGCAGTTACTTCTTTTCATCTAATGCCTGATAAAAGGTGAAAACCTTAAAAGTCATCCTATGAATCATTTCTTTTCTAAAACCACTTGAACATTTAAATATCTGAAGGTAATACCTAGGATTTGGGTTGTAACGAGGGTCTTGGAAAGACGGGCTCTTCCTGAGTCTGAAGTCCCCCTCTCGCGGTGTTCCCTCTGCATCTCATCCCTCCCCGCTTTCCGTGTACTTCCACTCAGTCAACTCTCGTTGCTGTTGCTAGTGAACACTCTCTTTGCTTGGTGTGTTGTGACTTCCGTCTGTCTTCTAGCGTCTTGGCTTCTTAGGCTCTTTTGTTCTTTGAGTATGTATTGGGAGAGTGAGAAGATACTCTAAAAGAGCAGTGTGAAGGGGGAGAGACGGCGGGGAGGGGTAGGGGGAGAGAGGGAAGAATGCGGAAAGCGTGAAGGGCACAGAGCAGCGTCTGTGCTCGTGGGGTGGGGGGAGAACACGGGCGCTAAACCCGGGAGTCCGGAAGCCTGGCTGCAGTGTGGCTTCTGGTTTCTTTCTGACCCTCAGTCTGCTGCTTCTGCCTACCTGCTCCGAACCTCAGGGTCGCCTCGCCCACCCTCTTTCCGTGATCTCCCTCCCGTCCTGCGCTGCAGCTCGCAGTGTGGCTCTGTGCAGAACTTCCAGGTGTCTGGGCCCCATCCTCGTCTCTCAAGCCCACGTCCCAGCTGCACAACACTTCCCTCTTAATGCTACGCCCATGATCCGGCTTCCCCGGTGCAAAGCGGCTCTTGCCCCCTCCTCCCTCCCTCGTTCCAGGGGCAGCCTCCTTTTGACAGGCTTGTTGTTGGTTAGGCATGGGGGTTTTGCCAATGGACTCAAGTCTGGGCCTGTAATCCAATTTAATACCCAGAGCTACCTTGCTGCAATCTGCTTTTCTTTCCTGATCTTCTTTCCACCGTGTGACCACCAACCAAGACTCACGGGCACCCGGCCCACGTTGCCTGGCTCACCTCTGTGCTTCTGGTGCTCTTCCCTCTGGCCAGAGTGGCCCCTGTCCCAGGCCCACCTGTGCAAATCCATCTTCTTCCACCTTTAGGCCCTGGCGAGAGGGGGCTGCTACCCAGTCCTCTGTCTTAATTGCCACTCAGAGGCGATGTCTTTCATCCATCCCTCTTTAATTTTAACTGTTCAACTATAGCGTCTGTGTGCTACCCTAGGGTAATTTGTGTTTAATTCTTATGTCTCCTTCTAGAACATACCCTCTTTGAGAGAAGGCACTTTATGTAATACATCTTCATATTTCCCAAAGCACTAAACTTTACGCTTGCCACATGGTAGCTGTTCAAGGAATTTTGTTGAATGGATGAACGAACACATGAATGAATCACTGACTTTGATATTGGGCAGTAAGTCCTCTCTCTGGGGCTTAGTTTTTCCATCTGTTGCGTGAGGCAGTTGGATTAGATGGTCTTTTAGGTTCCTTTTTAACTTATCTCACATCCAGGTTTAATGTTAATTTAATGTTAAATATCTCTTTGAGTTTTATTACTGTGTGTCATATGGAGCAGGCATCAGGGCATCAGGAATTTTATGTGTATTTATATATAGATATGTGCGTGTGTATATATATGTATGTATATATGTATGTATGTATACACATAATATATATATTTATCCTTGAAGTATATGTATATGTATGTATCCTTGAAGTATCTCCCTGGCTCACAAACTTATTTCTATCTCTCCTAGGTTTACAAGTTGTCCTGAACTCCATTATAAAAGCCATGGTTCCCCTCCTTCACATAGCCCTTTTGGTATTATTTGTAATCATAATCTATGCTATTATAGGATTGGAACTTTTTATTGGAAAAATGCACAAAACATGTTTTTTTGCTGACACAGGTGAGTAATGAAAACGGTAGCTAACCTAACTTTTAAAAAAAATTAATTTTTCCCAAAATAACTTCTGTGGTTTTGGGAAAATCTAAAACGAAATGGTGAGGGGTGGAAGCCAAATATACCAGTAAAACCAGTAAGAACCAGCCAGTTCTTAGCATGAATTATGTTCAGAATAAATGAGGATTTAATCTCCTTTTCTATCCTGATTTCCTATGTATTCCTGGCAAATAAGATGAGGTACCCCCAATACTAGAACATGAGTGGAATCCCCACCATTGTTCTCTATACATTTAAGAAAGGTGCTATAGAGTCAGGGTGGAGGAGAGAGCCATGGATTCTGAGTACAGAAATGGCATGTGCCATGAAGGAGGGAGTCTTTGAAGTGGACCTTGAGGGTCAAGTGAGAGTCTGACAGCATAGCTGGGAGGCTGGTGTTCCAGACTCTGGCAAGGGCACTCCGCTTCCGCCGGCCTTGGGCTTCCTGGTGCTCATGTCTGGAGTGGTGAAGCCTGTGTGCTCTGTTTGCAGATATCCTAGCCGAAGAGGACCCAGCGCCATGTGCGTTCTCAGGGAATGGACGCCAGTGTGCCTCCAATGGCACCGAGTGTAGGAGTGGCTGGGTTGGCCCAAATGGAGGCATCACCAACTTTGATAACTTTGCCTTTGCCATGCTCACCGTGTTTCAGTGCATCACCATGGAGGGCTGGACAGACGTGCTCTACTGGGTAAGCAGCTGGAGGACAGAGTGTGTGGAGTGTTCTTTCTTTGGATAAGAGTGTTGCATTTGCTAGAGCCATTGAAGAGTTAGCTGAAAAAGAAACCCTGACAGTTCTTGGGAAGGGAAGCAGACCCTCTCCTCACTCAGTAAGACTCCTCCTCTTTCTTCCTCAGGGCCCTAGTTTCTATCCCAGAAAGCCACTGTGTAATGTGGGCTGCCCCCACTCCCCCATTCTACGTGGGGACTTGCTGCTTAGTGTGCCCACGAGTCCTTGCTTTAGAGGAAATCCCAAAGTCAGGGCCATTCTGAATTAAACTCTTAGAGAGCCAGGGGTTATTTTCCAAGTTAAGAGCCTTCTGGACTTCCACGAGTTTGATTTTTTTTTTTAACATAAATGTAGGTTGCTCTACCAGATCCTAAACAGAAGATAGGGAATATAAATTGGATCACTTTTATGCTTTCCGTGAACTTAGTACAACCTACAACCTTCAGGCCAAAATGGATTTTTCCCTTATTATGCTGTTTCCCTTTTGCATCTTCAGCATTCCCATAAATCAGCCCAGCACAAGCCCCTACCTCTCTCTTCCTTTCTCTTTGGAGCTCTAGAAGTCTGGCAGGGAGGGTGGGAAAGGCACATCAAACTTCCAGGGCTGGTGGACCCATCCAACCTGCAATGACAACAGACAAGACATTGCAGCCCTTTCTGTGGCTAAGGTCTGGTTCTTCTTGTTCCTGACAGAGCCAGAAGGGTTTGCTATAAATGAAGAACAGTAGTATTTTAACAACTATTTCCCAGAGCTGAGTTTGTTTGCTTATTTATTTGGTAGAATTTTGAAAAAGCTCACAGAAGTTTAGAAATTAATTTCCATGGCACAGATTGCTGGGAAAAACAGCTGACGTGCAGATTTTGAGCCTAAACCCAAGTTCAAATGGGATTAATCAGGTTTCCAATAATGATTTGTTAAAAGGCAGTTAGTAATAAAGTACTTCTTGAATGGGCAGTCTTTAGTTAGAAATTGAGAAGTAACTTCTGGCAGTGTCTAAATTTTAGACTCTTTGTAGGGTTCCATATTCCTTTATAACTTCAGAGAACCTGACACACGATGGTTATAAATAGGTTTTTGCTTCCCTTCACCAGTGAACACCATGCTTACAGGATTGTAGAAGTCCTTATATAGTCAATGTTAGGTAAAGAAGATATGTTTTTATTTTCTTCCCCAAAGCGTGAGTCTAGTTTGGTAAAAAGTTTTGAGCATCACCAACATGTTCTATCTTGTTTCTCTTCCCTTCCCTTTTCTTATTGTCCTAGGAAAGAGAGAGAGAGAGAGAGAGAGAGAGAGAGAGAGAGAGTGTGTGTGTGTGTGTGTGTGTGTGTGTGTGTGTGTGTGTGTGTGTGTGTATGGTAATGCATGTGTGTTATTTATATCCATAAGATAATGCCTTTCATGAAGAGGAAGAAGGAGGGAAATTATATTGGATGAGGCAAGATCATGGTCATAGCAAGGGGACCTTCAAATTAGATAAAAGGTTCATTGTCAGTATTATCTTCAAAGTTGCAAATCCTAGTTAGATTAGTTGAGGTCTCACTCTCACTCTTGCCTTGAAGTTTCTGATACATAGAAAAGATTTATCCAAATAGCCCAAACTTTGATCCCTGCCCCACCACCAAACGGGACAGAAACATTCTGATTTAAAAAAAATGTGTGACTTCTCTCAGCTCTGCTGTCCTCTCTGTTGTCAGAGTGGATTGTCCACTGCTGATCCAACATGCCTTGACTAATACACAGTTTTATACTTTTTTTGCACATGGATTCTCTCATGACAGTTTTTCTGTTGTCAAGCAAGTGAGAACTGGGAGTATGTGATTCAAGGAGAGAAAACTCCATGCACCCAGAAACAAAAGTTCCCATTGCTTTCCTCAGAACCTTTAAGTATCACCTAGGATTGTATAATTATTATCTCTATTGTTAATATGACAATCACAGAGCTAATAATTTGACAATATAATAATTATATTCTCTGTGAATTACAGGGCACCTTCATTCTAATGGAGGAACTCAAGTAACTTATCAACATTATCTCAGTCTATATCCCTTTCTTAGAAGGTCTGGGATTTTGAAGGTCACGGGCTGTGCAAAGGCAGGTGGTGGGCTGGCTTTGGCCCACAGGTCATAGTTTGGTGGCCCCTGCCCTAGACTGGAACTCAGCACTCTTTCCTTGGCATTCTCTACTGTCAGAGGTTTGTGAATCATTCTAGAACACTAGAGGGCAGCTAAGTAATCTCCCATACAGTTCACTAAGATCTTATCCTCTGAAACACATCAGGTTGTTTTTAATTACTTATTGATTACATTTATTAACTCATCAGAGATAGACAAGAGCCAAGACACCAAACCTTCTTAATATTTAATGGGCTGTGGTCAGGTGGAAGATACACAACTGTGCCTAGTACAGAGCAGGTGCTTGACAAATACTTGTTACTCTTACTCCTTCTGGTACAATCCCATTGCCTCAGCGTACAAGGGCCATGTTTAAATATCATTTTTTGTGCACAACTAGGGTGTAAAGGGCACATCTGGAGAGATGACCAAGGAGATTAGATTGTAGATATTGATTGAGAGCAAGTTTCTCAATCCTTCAGGCGTTTGTATATGGTGGGCAAAGTCTTCGCCAGGGATTACTTCACATCTTGTCAAGCTTCTGTTCAGTCAGTGTTCTCAAGCTCACTGATGCCTGATTCTCAAGAATTTCTGGCAAAGGGCTGGCTGGGTCTTGAGAAAAGTACAGGTGGGTCTAATATGCAGGAAGACATACTTAGAACCATTCAGATGTGTGGGAGTGGGATTAACAATTTCTGGTGGGGAAAAAAAAAGTCCTTCTAGAGCTCTTTTATAAAGTGAGTTCCATAAGCATAATTACACTGCCGTCTGACCCACGCATATTTGTTGTCTACGGAGGCAGCAGGGTGTAGGGCAAGGGAAGAGCATGAAGGCTGGATAGGGCTGGGTGCATAACCTTCGGTAGGTCATCACAACCCTCTGGGCTTTAGTTTTCTTGTCTACAAGATGCACAGTTAGACTATATGATCCAATTCTTCTTCAATTCAGAGGAAATCTTTTTAAGGATAGGAAATTAAAATAGTGTTGGTTTCAGGAGAGAGCTACTAATATATAAAACATTTATGACCTTTTGCCTTAGAGCCAAGCTCTTTCCTCAGTGAACACACCTATGGAGGTGCTGGCTGCCAGACTCCAATGGGAAGTTCTCATGATCCAATTGACCATCTATTTCATTCAAGACACCTGGGAAATTCCTTTCTCATTGGCTGACGGCATGTCTTTCTGTGCCTTTCTCTTATTCCTGGCTTGGGGAGCCACAACCAGTATACCACGTTCCCAGTAGTGTTTTCACCAGGTAGAAAGAAAAAAAAAAAGCCTTAGGTTGGTCTTTAATTGGAGATAAGAATGTGCATCTCAGCCTTTGAAATGAGGGGAAAAACACAAACTAAATAGAATATTATTTTCTAGGTACCAGGTGACCCCACATGATGACTTTGATATGAATCTTTTAAGAATGAATCTAAATTGAAACCCTTCAGCTCGTGCTGATTTTTTCCTTGTTGATAAAGACCACATGCAGACAAAATCCCCAGCAGAGTCTTTATTGTCATTTGGGTATTTTGGGGAATAGCTTGCCAGTTCTGACTTGTCCTGTGTATACAGTAAGGTCTGAGAAATACTAGCCTCTGAGAAGAGACTTGGGTTGAGATTTAGTTTTGGAGAAAGACTGGCCCTGAGAGCTGAAGTTTTGTTTCTCGTCCCCCACCTTCTGGAGAGTTAGAGACCGTCTTCTGTGGCCTTCCCTCCAGCCCCCAGCTATCATTCCAGTTGGTATTTCTGCTCCACGTAAATGTGAATCTGTCCAACACCTACTCCCAAGAAGTTAAAAGCCACTTTAATTAAAAAAAAAAAAAAAGTGCCCTCCCAAGTGGAGCAGACTGCTGTTGCTAGAACATTCCCTGGAAGAAAAGACTGAGATCTGAATGAGGATTGGTAAAGCAGTTGGCCTGGCCGCTGACCAGCCCTGTTTCACCTCCTCCCGGTCAGCTCACTGCTGGAGCCAGCTCTCTCAAGGCGGGACATCCAGCGCCAGGGCTGTACAAGGGTGAGGTCTCCTGATGGGAGTCCCGGACGTGGCCCATCCTTCCCTCACCCCACGAGCACGCTTTCCCCTGTCGCCTGCGCTGCTCCCACACAGAGGAGACAGACCCAGAGAGGTCTCCATGGAAGGTCCGGACTCCAGGCTGGGCTCTGGCCACTACGCCAGGCAGCCTGGTTCTTCTCCTCTATACACGGGTTTTTAAATAAGGTTAGTGGTGTCGTTGCTTTGGAAGAATTATCCTCTGCCTTCCTTCTGAAATTAGTTTATCCAGCTTAATTAGATCAACAACTGCAGCCATGGCCCCGGTTCATTCATTACTCTAATTGCCAATGTGAGATGTGCAGACTGATAGGAGTTCTATTAAGCACATCAATTTTCATGTGGCCAAACAGGTGTTTCATAAGGGATTTAATGCCCTCTCCTTAGACTTCAGCAACAGATGTTAAGTCTTTTTTTTTTTTTTTTTTTTTTAATGTTCTCTTTTCCTGTTTGGCTTCTGCATGAGGCAAACATAGTGAAATGCATGCACTTCATTCTGCAAAGCTAAAATCAGGAGCCAGATAATATGGAAGAAATCACATGCTTCAAGGCCGAAGGGGCGGCTTGCACCCTCGAGGCAAGAACCATGACTCTCACAGACCACAAATAGTTCTGTTGGCCAAGATTCTGGGTGTTCAGCAAAGTCAGGCCTGCAGTCATTTATTTTGTCCCTGGACTGATCTTTAATACCTCCTTCCTGGGAGAAGTGTTTGCCTAATTTAACACGGATCTGTGCTGCTGGGAAGTTCCATCTTTAGCCATGAACCTCAAAGCACCTGTTTGCTCCCGCATGAGAACTGCTCATGACCAAACCTTCCCTGTGAGGGTCTGCCATGGAGGCCACGTCTAACTGTGCTGCTTGAGATTGTTCCAGAAGTAGTGGCACAGGGTTCCTCTGGACCAGCCCTCTTTCACCTCGTCCCAGTCAGCTCACAGCTAGAGCCAGCTCTCCCAGGGTGGGTCATTTAGGTCAAGGTAGGTGTGGGAGATAAGTGTTTCTTTCTTTTTCCTGGGTCCTTCCTTGGATGTAGTTGGCAAAAATCTCATTCCCCAAAGCACCCTTGAATGCATGTCAGCTAGTGGACTTCTGAGCACTTTCCTCTTTACCTTCATTGAGCTATACTTGCACTCACTGATGGCAGATAATCTAGATTTTAGGTGGGTTAGGTTTCTTTGGATAGGTTGGCTTCCAATAGAAATTTATTATTTTAGGGTTTTTTTTCCTAAGGAAAAGAATTTATAGAGTCAGATGTTGCAAGTTTATCTAAGTAAGACTTTTCCACCATCACAAATTTTAAAAAGCAGAAAGTTCTAACAACTTGGGTAGTGTAGGAAATACTTTCCAGCTAAGCACTAGCTTAGAATAGATCTACCAAGATCTATTCTGAAAGTCCATGATCCAAGAGTGTTTCCAGTGAGAAAGAGCCAGATCCCAGCTGATTTCCTTGCCTGTGTCAAAGTCTGCTATTATTTGCCCCCAAAGCTTTGATGACTCTTCATGGGCGTGCGTGTGTGTGCATGCGTGCGTGTGTGTGTGTGTGTTGGGAATATATAGTGAATGCTTCTTGGCTATTGTCTCTGATTCAAATCTAAGTAAATGTTTAATTTAATGTATAGAATGCTGTCTCTAATGACCCTCTCTCTTTATTAGATCCTCTTATTAACCCACTCCTATGAGACCATCTTATTTCTTGCAGATGAATGATGCTATGGGATTTGAATTGCCCTGGGTGTATTTTGTCAGTCTCGTCATCTTTGGGTCATTTTTCGTACTAAATCTTGTACTTGGTGTATTGAGCGGGTAAGCTACACCTCTTTCATCTTGAAAGCAGAGTCCTGAGGACAGTTGCCAAGACCACACAGGTTTTGCTAGATGGGGTTGGCCGGGTGGGTGCCAAACACGTTCTATGTCCTCTGAGATGCTTTCTCTTCTGCTGAGGCTTCCCAAATCAAGATGCTTCCTGGAACCTCACCAGCCTTTATGAAAGAAAGCTATGGAACGGTTATTGACCAGAAATTAATCAGCGTTGTTGCTTGGGATTTAAATAGACTCCATTGCTTGCCCTTTTGTCTGTCCTAAAATGAGATACATCTATAATTGCTTGATTGGTCTGGATCCAAATATGCAGATTAATTGGTACAAAACAGTAGCTAAATGAGCTGGTCCTGGCCGACTTTTGGTAGGCCAGGTTTGTAGATTTCAGCAGCAGAACTTGTCCGTACCCGAAGACAAAAATGAAAGGTCCTAGGTGGGGGGTCCCTGTCCTCAGAGCTGTAGTCTTCACTCAAAGCCCTGAGTGGTCTAGCAGCTGCTCCTGGGGGCTCCGCTCTTTAGTAAATGGATAACTGATAACTGATCTCCTTACATTTTACAGGTAAATGATGCGATAGGATGGGAATGGCCATGGGTGTATTTTGTTAGTCTGATCATCCTTGGCTCATTTTTCGTCCTTAACCTGGTTCTTGGTGTCCTTAGTGGGTAAGCAGTCAGATCCGTGTTGCACATTCTGCTGCTGCCTCGTGTAGGGTGGCTCTGCGTGTCCCCCAGCTGCTCCCTGCGCCTCCTCTGCATGTGTGTGGACTCTGACATCCCTTCTGTGTGTTGCTTTGGGATTGAACTGTGATTCTCTCTGCCTGTATCTTCTCTGTGGGATTCTGTGTTTCTGACACTTACCACACATTATTAATCTCATGAAAGCGTGTCCCTGAAGCCAGGTGCATTAGTGTGCCCATGTGCAGAAGCGGATTGCAAGTGAGTGAAAGGAGTCCCAGCCTTGGTGTCTCCCAGGAAAGGGCCTTATGTTTTTGTGGCTTTGTTCCCATTAGTATATAACCTGGCCTTTTTTGAGTTACCCATAGCGTATCATGAATATTTCCTGGGCATTTCAGTTTTTATTGAGAAAGAGGAATAAGCCTAGATTAGCACATAAATACTAGACAATTTCCAAAATCTTGCATCCTTCAAGTCATTTATTTGCTTGGTTTTCTGCTACTGTCACTGTGAGAATTGTCTCGCTAACTCATGATTAGTTTCCACTTGTGGAATCTCTAATGCAGAGTAATGAGCAGCTTTTGCATACACACTTCCTAGGGCCTTATGGTCCTGCTCACTCAGTCACCATTTTTGAAATGTCACTTGGCTGCCTCCACCCCTTGGATGACCTTCCATAGAGAGGATTCTCCGTAGAGAGTGGAGGCTGGCTCGGGAAGGGGTTCCTGGTGTTTCTGGGCTCTGCCCTGCCTGTACTCGGGGATGCTGTCCCAAGCCCCTGGGGCGGCTCTGTGTCTTCACCACCCACAGACACCCAGAAAGAGGAGCACCCTGAGAAGGAAGAAGGGGCTCTCTGGGCTCTCCCAGAAGCTGCCCCAGAACTTAAACACTGCTGGAGGGCAGAGGCCCCATCTCCCCAGAGGAACCTAGTCATCCACCATGCTCACCCTTCCTCAGGAAGGACTGGTGGGACCCTTCATTCCACATGAGTGAATCCTCACCTGCTTTACCTTCCTCTTTCCAAGCTTGTGTCTCAGGGTGGGGGTTGGGGATGATGCCTTCATGGAATGCTGAGTCAGCAAGGAGCCCTGGATCACATTTGTCCAAACACCGCCTTTTCCCGAGCAGAGAGCACAGCTCCTTGTCCACCCTCTAAACTGCCCTGCCTGTTTTCAGGGGATAACGTATTTGGGGTTCTCCTTGATGGAGTGTGGTCAGTTTTACACCATGGACGCACAGCTGTCTTGGGAAGCCCCTCTCTAGAGACGGCCCTGGAGCCCGAGCCCCCAGTGAGGGCAGTGGGGCCAGGTTGAGGGTGTGACAGCATCCTCCACTCCCACCAAAGCTTCCTTCTACAGAGGACTGGCTCCGCAAGCCCCTGTGTGAAAGTCGTAACCCTCGAAGAGTGCTTTCATCCTGATGAATCTCTGTGGCCGTAGGTTAGTGTTGGGCTGGTAAGGGTGGAATTTATCCCTGGAGAAACAGCCTAGTGTCAGTTTTGCCTCAGGAATGGCCCACACGAGGTTAACAGCAATTCTATCATGCATTCCTTGGCACCCCATGTCTTCTAAGTTCAACCAAACTGACTGAGGCCATGGAAACTGCTAATTTTAACAGTGCCAGTGACATGCCTTATCTCTAAGCTTCCCAGAGCAGGAGGCATCGCCCCGGCATGATGATGAAGCAGCTCCAGACAGGGAAAAAGGAAACGGTGGGAGGAAGGGCTCCTTATCAGAATGGTGGCGGGCATTAAATGTTGACCCCCATGGAGGATGACATAACAAGTAATGTTAAAACACCTTGGTATCAGAACAAAACTAGATCCCTTCTCAGGGAGATTGCAATGGCGTGCCTGGCTCCAGACCAGAGACCCGAGGTGCCGGTGTGCCAAAGACACAGAGGCGCTGGGCTCAGGCTTTCAGTGCCTGGTGGGGAGACTGTCGTGAAGCAGTGCAGGATGGCAGAGCTGGAACAGAGGTGTAGACCAAAGGGCTGGGAAGGCTGCATGTCTGTGAGCTGGATCTTGAAAGGGGATATGGGATCTGCAGGGGAAAACCGATGAGGAGCTTGCTCCCACCTCCCTGGACAATTCCCTGCTCCTCTGCCCAGCTCCTCCCCCTTGACTGGCTCCCAAAGCAACAACAACAAAAAATCAAAACAAGTCACTCGTATGCATTTTCTTGTTAAATTTTTAAAAATTTGCTTTAGTCTTAGAGTCTTCACAGTTTTTTTTAGGGAACATTGAAGGGAGGTAGATGTTAAAAGGGGGATAATTTGTGTTGCGTGGCCCCTTAGGGACCATCAGACCAGCACACAATCCTTAAAGCACTGAATTAAAAGCCTCCCGTTTTAGAAACTTTAGACCTTGCTATCGCCTTCTGATGAACAATCGTTAAATGATGCTTGTGTGTCTTTAAGTCTGTTAACCCCTTGAAAATACTTGTTTCTGCTCCTTGGCTTTTTTTATTTTTTTGTGTGTGTGGCCATGCCATCCTATTGTATTCGTGAACTGGTTTTAATCTGCACACTTGATTTGGTGTTGGTACATGTTTAAAGCATTCTAAGACTGATGCTTTGGAAAAATCTTTGGTTTTACAACAGATGCTTTTCTCAAGGTGAGTATGAAGTTTATGAAGTGTACACCCTGTGTAACCAAGCATGAACACAGATGAAGACTTTTATCTCTGATGGTAGCGTTCTCTGGGGAGGGGGAGCCGAGAAGGTCTGTAGCTTGTGCTACAATTTCACATTGTCGTTGAGGAGATGGTTCCGTTATGACCAGGGATTGGAAAGAATGTCTCATTCACGTCTATAAATCAGATAGATACGTCTCTTCTCATGCTGGGTTTTTTTTTGGTTTGTTTGTGTGTGTGTGTGTGTGTGTGTGTGTGTGTGTGTGTGTGTGTGTGT